TAATAAAATAAGAATGGAAGATAATGTTTACTAAAAATATTAAATACATTAATAAGGAAAATAAAGTATAAAATATAAAAAAGTTATAAAATAGTCAGAAGAATTAAAGTAAAAGAAAAAAGAAAAGAATTAGAAATAATAATATAAAAGAAATTAAGATAATCTAATAAGTATAAATAATTGATAAGATAAAAATCATTAAAAAAATATAGAAAATAAAACCAAAACTAAAAAAATTATATAAAAAGGAACTTATAGAAGTTTTAGCAAAATTATTAAAAAAGTACTATAAGTTTATTAAACTATTTATAAAAAAAGAATAGTAATTACTAATATATAATAAAGAATTTAAAGTATAAATTAAATTAAAAAAAGAATTTACATTATTATCAGTTAAATAATATTATAAGTTAAGAGATAAATTAGAATTTAAGAATAAATTTATTAATAAATTTTATAAAGTAATGTATATATAACTAGAATATAGAAAAGTATTAGCATAATTAATATTTATTAATAAAAAAGATATAATTAAATAAATAATTATTAATTATAGAGCACTAAATAATAGAATAGTAGATAATATAAATAAGATGCCTTATTAAAAATAAAAAAAAGATTTCTTATAAAAAGTAAAGATCATAACAGTCTTTAATATTTAATGAGGTTATTATAATCTATAAATAGCTAAAGATAATATTTAAAAAACAGCTTTTCTTATAGATAAAGGACTATTTAAATAAATAATTATATTAATAGATTTAAAGAACCTACTAGTATAATTTACGCAATATATAACATATGTTCTGTAGAAATATTTAAATAAGTTTATTATAATCTATTTTGATAATATTATTATATACTTATAAAACTTAGAAGAATATAAAGAATATATATAATTAGTTATAACAGTACTCATAAATGAAAGATTAACATTTAAGATTAAGAAGTATGAATTTAATATTATAACTATTAATTACTTAAGAATAGTTTATATACTAGAAAGATTAAAGATCTAATTAGAAAAGAAAGATATAATACTTAATTAATCTATTCTAATAAATATTAATAAAATATAGCAATTCTTAAGTGTAATAAAATATATTAAAAAATACTTAAAGAATTATATAGAAATAATATAACTAATTATAGAATTACTATAAAAAGATTAAGATTTTAATTAAATAGAATAATAACAATAAGCATTTAAGAAAATTAAGGAATTAATTAAAAAAGCACCGATTCTTATACTTTATAATCTAGAAAAATTAAATATAATTTAACTAGATATATTAGGATATATATTAAAGATTGTTTTAAAATAATTAGGAGATAATAAATAATTATGATCTATTATTTTCTATTTTAGATAATTTATCATCATAGAAAGAAATTATAATATTTATAATAGAGAGCTACTCATAATAGTTAAAATATTTAAGTAATAAAGATATTACTTATAAGAAGTTAAAGAAGAAATAATTATAAAAAGTAATCACTATAATCTAAAGTATTTTATAATAATTAAAAAGCTTATTAATAAATAAATTAAATAATCAGAGTATTTATTAAGATTTAAGTTTTAAATTAAACATATTAAAAGAAAAGAAAATATTATTACTGATGTATTAAGTAAAAGAGTAGATTATATAATTAAAATATAATAGCTATAAACAAATATATTAATAGAAAATAAAGATAGAATTTACTATAATGATAAAGCAATACTAGTAATAATAATTATGATAAAAAGTAAAGATTTTTATAAAAAGATAATAGAAGTTATTAGAAATAATAAAATACTATAGATAGTACTATATAATAATAAAGCAGTAATTAAGAATAGATTAGCTATTTAGAGAAGATTAATATTAATATTATTTTTAATAATTATAGAAGTTATTTAAATGAACTATAATTTACTAATTAAAGGATATTATAAAATTGACTGAATAATAGAAAAAATATAACAAATATATTATTTCTTAAGAATGAGAAAATTAGTTAAAAATTATATTAAGAAATATGATAGTTATAATTGTAATAAATTAATTAATCATTGATTTTATGAAAGAATATAGATTCTAGAAACATTGATAAAAGTATAGTAGAAGATTATAATAGATTTTATATAAGGCTTATTAGAGTTAAAGAATCTTATTTTAGGAATTATATATATTAAAGTTATTATTATTATAGATAAACTTATAAAATATATTATCTTAAAATTAATATTAAAAAGTTTAATAGCATAATAATATATAATATTAATATTATAAGAAGTATTTATAATATTTAAATTATTAAGTGAAATTATATTTAATAGAGATAAACTATTTAGATTTAAATTCTAGCAGACAATTATAAAAAATTATAAAATAGAATATAATTTATTAACTATATATTATTAATAAACTGATGACTAGATTAAAAAAATAATTTAAGCAGTTAAATAATATCTAAGATATTATTTAGATTAGAATTAAGATAATTAGATAAAATTATTATTAATTACTTAATTTGCAATAAATAATACTATAAATATATTAATAGGATAAGTATTATATTTTACTAATCTAGAAAGAATTCTAAGAATAAGTTAAGAAAATATTAAATAAGAAGAAGCATTTAATAAAGTAAATATCTAAATAATATATATATAATTATTGTATAGTAATTTGTTAAAAGATATTAAATAGATAGAAATAAGAATAAAAAGATATTATAATAAGAAGCGCAAGGACGTATTAGTACTTAAAAAGAAAGAGAGAGTTTATCTTTTATAATAAATACTAGAATTAAAAAATTTTAACATTAAAAGTATAAGATTAAGTGATAAATTTAATATAATTAAATTTAAACTATTTATTATTAAAGAAAAACTTATAAATAATAATTATAAATTCTAGTTATTAATAAAAATATAAATATACTTAATATTTTATATCTTATTATTAGAATTAATTATTAATTTAATAAATAAAAATAAAGCAGCAGATAATAAAAAATATAAAGTTAAAAGAATATTATAATATAAATTAGAAAAAGGATACATCTATTATTTTATAAAATAAAAAGGATATAGACTTGAAGAAGATATATAAGAATCTATTAAGTATTTAAATTACTTTAAAAAGATTTAAGAATAGAGATAGAAGTATAATTAAAAAAAATAAAAGGATTAAAGTTAATATTAAGAATAAGATTATTATTTTATAAAATAAAAGTAGTAATTAGAAGCTTTTTAGTCTTTTATTATTCTTTTATTTATTTTACTTTTATCTTTTCTTCTATTTTTTCTAATCTTTTTAACTCTTTAATATCTTTTATATCTAATTAAATAAATTAATTAGCATGCTTTTGTAATAGTTTTTGCTATTTATTAAAATAAGTGTGTTTTACTAAGAGAATTTTAATTTTAATATTTATCCTGTCTCTATTTTCTTTTAAGTATTTCTAAGTATAAAGAAATTTTTTCTATATAAGATTAGATAAAGCTATTAAAATATACTTATAATGATTGTTTTATATATACTTATTATAGTGTAATAATATTTCTGATTTTATATAAATCTTATTCAGTAAGAAATAATAAAAATAAAATAAAAATAATTCTATATTAGATTACTTAATATATAGTGCAAGATTATTCTTATTAATATTTTACTTTAAAGATATAATTAGCACAAAACTATAAAATTGTATATTTAAAATATTTAAGAAGTTAGAATTAATTATTTACACTTTAAAGGATATAAGTTATTTATTAAACTGTTAAGATATCAGTTTTTAGAGAAAAGAATTATTAAAAAATCAAAATATTATAGCTAATAGATTAGATTAGTTATTATAGAACTAATATATATTAGAATAAAGAATTATCTATAAAGTCTTAGAATTAAAATAATAGAACTAGCAAAACTATTATTATATTAATTATATTAATTAAGATAGAGCAAGCAGAACTATTATTATATTAGCTATAATAAAGGAAAGCTATATAAGGATGCTTATTTATTATATATTTAATTTTCTTCTATTATCTTGAATTAACTATAATAATTTAAATATATAATCTTTTATTAATTAGGATATTTATAGCCTTATTCTTATTTCTTTTATCTATTGAGATCTTTCGATCTTAGAAGCTTATTAATTTTGCCTATTAATAGCTATCCTAGCTATACTCGACGGTAATCAAACCGAAGTTTCCGACAAAGAGTAAGTTTTTTTATTTATATCTTTAAAAATAAAGGTCCTAAGAAGAGAAAAATAATATTATAAAATTAATTTATATAATATTAAATAGAAACTAATACTATTAGAAGAAAATACTTAATTAAAATAGCTAACACTATAATTAATTATTTATATATACTAATATGCAAGATAGTCACTAAATATATAGACTTATAATTAATATAAAAAAAAATATAATAAGTATATACTTGCTAAGAAGATATATAGTATATACTAATATATACTATAGCTATATACTAGAGTGTATATTAATATATATCCAGGATATATATTAAAATATATACTAGAAATACTATATAAATATATTTATTTCTATACTTAGTTTTTACTTAGTATAACTCTTTAATCTAAATTACTTGGTTATATATTAAGAGGATTAATAAGGCAAATCTACTTAAAGTATTATAATATCTTAAGGTGCTTCTTCTATCTTAATTATAAATAACTAATCTTTATTATTAACAAGTCTAAACTACGTCTAATCTTATTAATAAGTTACTCTCATGAACCTTTGTGTGGTTCATTTATTGTATTGTACCTCGACACAACCAGTGACAACTAGGGTGGATCCAGGCGCGTGACAGTTGTGGATTACATGCTGTATTCGGAATAGCGGTCATAATCCGCTGTCAAAAGTTTAAATACATCTCCAATCACGGGAAGGCTAAAGCCCTAATAATCCAGCACTAAAATGAACATATACTATCGTTTCATTCTTTGTCACTGTCCATCTCCTATCTCTACACCACTGCTACTATCTATTATTCAAGTACCCCTCACGAACTAACACCTACACAATAATATGTGTTCGCCTGGAACTCCAAAGCGCAATTAGCTCCCTCCGTGCCCAAGATAGTATTCCATGAATAAAATTGGGCTGTGGTGATATCATGTGCCACAGCAAACCCAGAACATGTATCACCGCTCACAGCTTCCGCATACTGGTCGCAGTTACTTGCGATCCCACTCTGCACCGGACTGGGAACGGAGACTGGCGAGCTGGAAGGCACGCCTACGCAGTACCATGTATCCGCCTGGAATTCGGTTGAACACCCGGCCCCATCGGTTCCAAGGATAGGATTCCATGCATACAGTTGAGCCGGGGTAATGTTGTTGGCGGTTGCAAATTCGGAGCAGTAGTCACCCGATACTGCTTCAGCATATGCGGTACAGTCAGGGTCAATCCCGGTTTGGGCGGGAGATGGTACTGCCAGCGTTGTGGTGGGACTGGAAGTAGATGTTGTAGAAGCGATTGTAGAGGCGGTTGTGGACGGCGAGGTAGACGCTGCTCCAATGCAATAGTACGTGTTTTCTTGAAATTGCAGTGAACAGTTTTGGCCATTGGCTCCGAGGACAGGGTTCCATTCGTACAGCTCGGCGGTTGTGATGTTGTACTCTGTAGCGAAAGCGGAACAGTAATCACCAGACTGAGCTTCCGCATATGCCGTGCATTGAGGATCAATCCCTGGTTGTACTGGGGAGGGAGTTGCTGCTGGTGGAGTAGTCGTCGCGGTAGATGGTGCAGATGAGCTGGTTGTCGCTCCCTGCACACCAATGCAGTACCAGTCACCAGCTAAAAGCGCCGTTGAGCAATTCTCGCCAGCAGTCCCAAGAACAGGATTCCAGGCATAGAAGTCGCTCTCGGAGATTTGCCACAACGTCGTTAGAGACCAGCATCCGTCTCCGGACTGCGCCTGTGCGTACTCCGTGCACAATGGAGTGATGCCGGATTGTGTTGGGGTTGGAGGGGATTCGCCGGCGGACACGAAGGTTGCGTTGCGCCCACCCCCGGCCACACTTCCGCTGCCCGTTGCCGTCCCAGTGCCGTCTCCGCCGCCTCGTGCCTGAGACGAATCGCTACTCGTTTCATTCGACGCGGGGGGAGAGATATACGAGCCGCCGGGGGCGCTGATGCAGACGTACTGATCAGCGGCAAGATCGTCGCAGAAGCCAAGGAGATTGGGGTTCCAGGTCTGGAATTGTGTCGAGGTGATGGAGTTGTTTGCTGTGGAGATAAGGGAGGACATGGAGTCGCTACTCGAGCAAGTCATCAGTTAGGGGCAAGCAAACAAGTAGACGGATGATAACTGACCAAGTTGCATTCAGGGGAACCTGTGCCATGGTGCAACCCGCAGGAACGCAGGCCGAAGTGAAATTTACGTCTGGCAAACAGAAGGCATTTCCGAATTCCAGGATGAGATCGCCAGTGGTAACATTGTAGAGAGTCGATATCGCGTCACACCAGATAGTACCATTAGCTGACGGATCGGGGACAGTCAGATTGCCTAACTCGGCCAACCCCAGTGTCTGATTGCATGCCACAGTTGCCGTTGTGGTGGTCTGGTTTGTCGTGTCAGTGGCATTAGATGAAATATCCAGCGTAGAGTCGTAGTACGGTGGCGGTCGAACGAGCAAGTCCGGCATGTCTGTGTTGTTACAGACACTGACAATGTCATAGAACTGGCCCACCAGATAATCAGAGTAATCTAGATCTGGTAGATATGGAGATGCTACGCGAAGATAGAACATCTTGATGAAGCAATCGCTGCAAAGGAGGGAATCAGGGTACAGATTGGCCAGTCGCTCGTTTTCTGGTGGGACGTCGGTAGGATCCACGCATTGAGAGGTGTCGTTACCCGTTGTTGCTGCGCCATCAGGACAGAGAGGGCGGATGATGTCCGACCCAACCCACGAGTAGGACTCTATCAGACAATATGAAGGGCTGGCTTGCCGTTTGCGGCTGGATACCGTTCCTTGGGTTGATGGAGTCGGGGTGGGAACCGTTGAGTCGGCTGTCACAGTTGAATTGGTCTCAGAAAGCAGAACCGAGGTTAACAAGGTGCCATTGACTCCTGGATCCATGAGAACGTCCGTGTCTGGTGAAAGACAGGCAATGTTCATGCCATCCAAAACTCGCCCAGGGATTGTCATAGGAGGGATTAGCCGGCCATTGACAGCAATGGCATCATTTGCACATTCGGTACGTACATCCGCAAACCAGGTGGCGGCGGAAGAGAGACAATCCGTGGTGCACAGGGCAGTAACATTGTCAATGTCCCAGAGGTAGTTGTCGACATCTCCAGCCATCTGGAGCAAGGTTCCATCGCAAACGACGGTCTCATTAAGGGCGTCAAGACACGCCAGACTGATATTGAAGGCATTCGCAAGAGCAGTGGGATCCACAGCCGGATAGAGACTGGATTGAGCCGTGCACTCTGCTGCTAACAGAAGAGCGGTTGTCAGCAGAACAATGTGCTGCATTGTATGAAGCTGTAGCAGTTGGGCTGTGTGTAGATGCAGACAGAAGTTGTAGATTCGAGCAGGAAATTTGGATTATGGACGCCTACCTAGGTAGTCGTTGCCCTAAGATAACAAGACAGCAATAAAATACACATCACTGGGATCCTACTGAGTACCCGAGCAAATGAAGAAGTATTATTGACCGGTGAGATGGATGGTGGCGTCTTCAAGAAGTGGGCTATGATACTACTAATGCAAGATTGCTCTTCAGCTCTCCCCTCAATGTAACCGTAAACCACGTGCCCGTTAATCTCACCATTCAGCCTCACCATTCAGCCAGGATGTATTTGTTTTTGTGGTGGCAATACTCCTTACATTGTGGTCTTGTTTAGCCAATGCACTCCTGCAATTATCACGAGGTGTGCGGCGATACGAGAATCGGCCCCATTAGACCACAGTGCTAGATCTATTTAAATTACATTAATCTAACTACTGGGCCTAGTACGTACGTCTTATGCAACTCACAGAGGCTAGATGATGGTCTTGCATATAATTAGTACATCCAAGGAATGACAATTTCAGCTTTTTCGGCCGGGTTGGCTATTAACTACTAGTAATATACCTCAATGAGAATGCAACCTTGGAAGTAATCATAACTTCGTGGTATTTACTCTCATCTCTTCGTGCTGCCTCCAATTCAATCCCGATTTCTACTCAATCATGCGGTCCAGTGTCTGGTTAGCGGTCCTCGCCGGCCAGGCGTCGCTGACTTCTGCAAAATCCCGTTTCGAAGTGAATCACGGTAGTTCCCTAAACCATTCCTATCAGCATGGTCTCCTCCACTCGCGAGATCTGCCTACTGGAACCTGCAACGCCGCCACGCCTTGCGCAAATGGAGCTTGTTGTGGCAGTGACAATCTGTGCGGTTATTCGGCTGCGTTCTGCGGGACAGGTTGCCAATCTAACTGTGAGCTGCCAGAAGAGCTAACTCTCTCTCTCGCTTCCCATGTCTGCTTCTTCTTCTGACACCGACTGTAGGCGACGCCAAGGCAGAATGCGGACCGTATGCTGTTGAAGGCCAGCAGACATGCCCTCTCAACGTCTGCTGCTCTGAATTCGGCTTCTGCGGATCTACCACCGAGTTTTGTGTTTGGTCCAACCCAGATGATCCGGAATATTCGACCTGCTCCACGGAATATGGTGGCTGTGGCAGCGTGAAACGACCGGCTTGTTCAACAGGGGGCAATAGCGTGGGCAAGCGCAATATCGGTTACTATGAATCATGGGCAAATACTCGCACATGTGACCAGGTTGCTCCGGAAGATCTTAACTTGGATGGGTTTACCTCAATCAATTTCGCCTTCGCCTTTTTTGACCCGACCTCTTTCCAGATCAGCCCGATGGATGGTAACGCCGCGTCGCTATACAGCCGGTTCACGGCCTTGAAGGGCAATAAACCCGGTTTGGAAACGTGGATTTCGGTAGGGGGTTGGTCATTCACTGATCCAGGTTCGACACAGAGAGCATTTAGCGATATGGCGAGCTCTGCCGCAAATCGCCAGGCGTTTATCAATGGCGTAATTCAATTCATGAACACATACGGGTTTGACGGACTGGATCTTGACTGGGAATATCCCGGGGCGGATGATCGCGGTGGTGTCCCCGCGGATACAGAGAACTTCGTAAGCCACTCGTGATAGCCGAGTCGGAGGAGAGAGGAAGACTGATGATTGACACCAGGTCACACTTTGCCATGAGATCCGCGCCGCATTTGGCACGAAGTATGGCCTCACGGTGACCCTTCCCACATCGTACTGGTATCTCCAGCACTTCGACCTCCCGGGTATTCAAGATTCAGTCGACTGGTTCAACCTGATGGCCTATGATTTGCACGGCGTCTGGGATGCGCAGTCGATATATGTCGGACCGTACATCGCACCCCACACCAATATTACCGAGATCGATCTTGCGCTGGATCTCCTCTGGCGCGCCGGGGTTGATTCAAGCAAGGTTGTCATGGGCCAGGGGTGGTACGGTCGATCCTTCACGCTGGAAGACCCAAACTGCAACACGCCGAACGGTGTCTGCCAGTTCTCCGGCGGCGGAGATGCAGGCCCTTGCTCCCAGGCTTCCGGCATCCTAAACTATGAGGAAATCAGCGACGTGATCACCGAATATGGCGTGCAGCCTGTGTGGGACAAGACCGCGGCGGTGAAGTGGATCAGCTGGGCCGATAATCAATGGGTGTCATACGACGATGGAGATACCTTTAAGCAAAAGCGCGACTTTGCCAACAGCCGCTGTCTCGGCGGCCTGATGGTCTGGGCCGTCGATCAGGTTTCGCAAACGGCTGACAATGGCTTTGGCGGGTCTGCTGCGGCGGCTGGTACGAGCGTGACGCCTAGCCAGCAGGCGGACGCGGACCAGTCATCCAAGGATAGCCTGGCCGGGTTGACATGCTACGTTGCGGACTGCGGACAGACCTGTAAGCCAGGAACTGGGGAGGTGGCTCAATTCAATGGGCAGCCGGGCCAGCTCAGCACCTCGAACCGCTGCGCCTCCAAGTCCTACCGCAGCTTATGCTGCGACTCCAAGACCAACGTTGGCACCTGTCAATGGCGAGGGTATCGCGGAGCCGGGCTGAGCTGCATTGGGGGCTGTGCGGATGGCGAAACGGAACTGACAACCAATACCAATTCGCATGACAGTAAAGCCGGTGACAAAAACTGCCATGGTGGGTTGCAGAGCTTCTGTTGTGCCAACTTTCAGCCGACCAGCTCAAGTCTCCAGGATGACCTGGAGGATGCAGCAAAGGCTGCAGCAGAGGCTGCCGCGGAGCAGGCAGCATTAGATATAGCAGCAAAGGCATTCTGTCGTATTGCTGTGCCCGCGCTGCTGGCGCCGCTGGAGCTGGTTGAAGACCTGATTCCCATTTTCGGTGAAATTGCAGATGCTATCGAGATCGCTGCTACTCCCGCCATCATCGACGGGTGTGTTAAGGGGATCGAAAAGGAGGGCAAGGCCGAATTCAAGGTGTTTGGAAAGAAGCACACGCTGAGTTTCAGTGAGCCCACGACAAAACCGACCGATGTTCCGGATCGGCCTCCCAGCAAGTCTGATACTCCAACCAAGACAGGGGACAAGGACGAACCAACCTGCCAGGCCAAGGCGAAACGCGCGGATGCCCCCGTGCCGACCAATACCCACTATGTCGACAGCAATAAGTTCAAGATTCTTTCCAGCACGGTGCATAGCAAGAAAAACACCGACTGGGTCGATGGACAGGGATGGGCCATCAAAGCTCGTAAGTCATGCAACACTCCACTCGACTATATTCTAAATATACAGGCTAACCTTGGCAGAATGGCCACCCACTGGCGTGATTGCGCTCCCTGAGCACTACCAGCTCATTGCCGGCTATGTCACCGTTGCGCGCCGTCAGACCGAAGATGTCGACTCGTGCGGCAATACCAAACGCGTGGTCGTCACGCTCAACCGTGACTGGCAGGGGTATGCCTACGATATTCGAGCTCAGGGCGGTAGGGTTATTTTCATGATCCGCACGGCTTCAGCAGCCACCTGGGACGGAGATAATGCGAAGAGAACGTATGGACCGTTCACGGTGGTGTATTCCGACCTGGGACCTATACGCCAGGGACTGGATTTTGCCCAAATCCAGGCCAGAGGGCAAGTGCTGGCGAACACCATGGGACCGTACGTATATTGGACCAACAACTGTAATACATTTGCAACGCGGCTGTATCAGGACATCGCGCTGTGAGGTGACAGGGAGCAGAATGATTATCGCCGCAAGTTCGTTCGGCTAGGATTTACAAGGATTTGACCGGAATAGCTAAATAAAAAGTTTGTGGGAGATCCCTACACTTTCATCTTCAAATTAACTTCTATATTCTTATTTATAGTATTCTTTCTTTTTATAGTTAAAATATTCTATCTTGCTTTTATCAAATTATCTCTTTAATTTCTTATTAATTATTATATTAAGTTCTATTAATTATAATCTATAAGAATCTTAATACTTAGATCTTTTATTTATCTAATTCTAATATCTAAAGATAAACTTTATCTTATATCTTTATTATTCTTATATCTTCTTTCTTTTTTATCTTATCTTATAGAATTTATTATTAATTTTAATAGCTTATTTAATAAACTTATTAATATTATTTAATTAATCTATCTTAATAAATTCTATTTATATTTCTTCTTTTAACATATTCTTAAATACTATAATAAAAACTTCATTATTATAATTTAATATCATTATAATTTACTTAAATTATACTACTAATTATTATACTAATCTAATCTAATATAGTTATTATAATTATCTTTTAATATTTTATATCTTATCTATATTTCTAAATACTAGCTTAAATTTTTCTTTAAATTATTTATAAGAACCTAATACTTCTATAATATTAATACTCTAATTTTTCTTTTCCTTATTATAGTATTTACAAAATATTAGTTTAATCTATTAAAAGACTTCTTCTATTAAGCAAGTTATTATAAAGATTATCTTAGATTCTTCTATTTCTAATATTATATTTTTAATTATAATATATATATTTATTTATATAAGAAAATTCTTTAATTCTATTTATTTCCTACTAAAGACTTATAATTTTAGTATCTTAAATTATTTTATTACTATAATTGCTTCTAATTTCTTAATATATTTTTAAAATATTTCTTTATTAATAGAAGTTGCTATTAATCTAATATTTAAAATAATTATATTTCTTATTATTTTAAATTAATTTATAAATATTCTTTCTTCTTATTTAAACTTTCTTATCTTCTTATAATAGTACTTATCCGATATCATTTCTTAAGATTAAAATAATAGCTTTTTTGTTATATATCTAGATCTATTTTAATTATTACTAGCTATATTAAGGTATAATATAATAATTAAATCATATAAAGGTTCTTAAGAATTAACTTGTTAATCAGATTAGATATAATTTAGATTTATTAATAATAAAGATTAATTAATTATAATTAGAATAGAAAAAGCGCCTTAAAATATTATAATATTTTAAGTAGATTTACCTTACTAATCTTTTTAATATATAATCAAATAACTTAGATTAAAGAGCTATAGAAGATTTCTAAATATATAAGAAAAAAGTATATTTATATAGATCTATTTTTCTATAATCTTATATATACTCTCAGTATATATTTAGTATATATCTAATAATTATTTCTTTCTTTATATATAATCTTTCTATAATCTAATTATCACCTAGATTATATACTAATCATATAATCCTATATCCCTTGATTCTGTCTTCATAGTAGTGCATGATAATGATTGGTTGTAATGTGTGCTGTTCCATCAGAACACCTTTCCGTAATAGTCGCTAGTCTATGCTAGTGTCATGCAGGTTGATTTCGTAACAAGCAGATTATACAATTAAAATATAGCAGCCACAAACAAATATACTAACAAAAGATAAAGATAGAATTCACTATAATAATAAGATAATATTAGCAACAATAATTATAATAAAAAGCAAAGATTTTCATAAGAAAATAATAGAAATTATTAAGAATAATAAAATACTACAAACAGCACTATATAATAATAAAGCAGTAATTAAGAATAGATTAGCTATTTAAAGAGAATCAATATTAATACTATTTTTAATAATTATAGAAGTTATTTAAATAAACTATAATTTACTAATTAAAGAACATTATAGAATTAACTAAACAATAAAAAAGATATAATAAATATATTATTTTCTAAGAATAAAGAAATCAGTTAAAGACTATATTAAGAAATATAATAATTACAATTGCAATAAATTAATTAATTATTAATTATATAGAAGAATATAGATTCTAGAAATATTAATAAAAATATAATAAAAGATTATAATAGATTTTATATAAGACTTACTAAAATTAAAAGATCTTATTTTAGAAATCATATACACTGAAGCTATTATTATTATAGATAAACTTATTAAATATATTATCCTAAAACTAATACTAAAGAATTTAACAGCATAATACTATATAATATTAATATTATAAGAAATATTTACAATATTTAGATTATTAAGTAAAATTATATCTAATAAAAATAAATTATTTATATCTAAATTTTAATAAATAATTATAAAAAATTATAAAATAGAATATAATCTATTAATAATATATTATTAATAGACTAATAACTAGACTAAAAAAATAATATAAGTAGTTAAATAATATCTAAGATATTACTTAGATTAAAATTAAGATAATTAAGTAAAGTTATTATTATTTACTTAGTTTATAATAAATAATATAATAAATATATTAATAAAATAAGTACTATATTTTACTAATCTAGAAAGAATTCTAAGAATAAGTTAAAAAAATATTAAATAAGAAGAAATATTAAATAAAGTAAATATTTAAATAATATATATATAATTAATGCATAACAATTTATTAAAAGACATTAAATAAGTAGAAATAAGTATAAAGAGATATTATAATAAGAAGTGTAAGGATATACTAGTATTTAAAAAGAAGAAGAGAATTTACTTTTTATAATAAATACTAAGATTAAAAAATTTTAATATTAAAAATATAAGATTAAGTAATAAATTTAATATAGTTAAATTTAGATTATTTATTATTAAAGAAAAATTTATAAATAATAATTATAAACTTCAGCTATTAGTAAGAATATAAATATATTTAATATTTTATATCTTATTATCAAAACTAATAATTAATCTAATAAATAAAAATAAAACAGCAGATAATAAAAAATATAAAGTTAAAAAAATATTATAATATAAATTAAAAAAAGGATATATTTATTATTTTATAATATAGAAAGAATATAAATCTAAAAAAGATATATAGAAATTTATTAGATACTTAAATTGCTCTAAAAAAATTCAGAAATAAAGATAGAAGTATAATTAAGAAAAATAAAAGGATTAAAGTTAGTATTAAGAATGAGGTTATTATTTTATAAAGTAAATATAGTAATAAAAAGTTCTTTAATCTCTTATTATTCTCTTATTTATTTTATTTTTATTTTTTCTTTTATTTTTTTTAATCTCTCTAACTCTTTAATATCTTTAATATCTATCTAGATAAATTTATCTATATACTTTTAAAGAAGATTATCTTACTTCTTAAAATACTTTAATTAAGTTATTATTTTTAAGAATTTCAAATAAGCCTCTTTCTATTAAAGATAGATCTTATTTTATATCTTAACTTCTTCTAAGTAAAATTAGAGAATAATATATTTATATAATAATAATTAATTATTGTCGGAAACTTCGGTTTGTTTACCGTCGAGTATAGCTAGGATAGCTATTAACGGGCGAAGTTAATAGGCTTCTAAGGTTGAAAGATCTTGATAGATGAAAGAAATAAGAATAAGGCTATAAATATCCTAATTAATAAAAGATTATATACTTAAGTTATTATAGTTAATTTAAGATAATAGAAGAAAACTAAATACATAATAAATAAGTATCCTTATATAGCTTTCCTTTATTATAGCTTTTATAAAAATCCTTTGATTTCTTTGATATATAGATTATAGTTATTATAAAAATCCTTTAATTTCTCTGATGCCCTAACTCTAAGATTTTATAAATAATTTTTTATTCTAATATATATTAGTCCTATAGTGACTAATCTAATCTATTAATTATAATATTCTAATTCTCTAATAATCTTTTTCTTTAAAAACTAGCATCTTAATAGCTTAATAAATAGCTTATATTTCTTAAAATATAAATAACTAATCTTAATTTTCTAAATATTTTAAATATGTAATTTTATAATTTTATATTAATTATATCTTTAAAGAAAATAATCTTAAGAAACTTTTTTCTCTTATATATTAAATAATTTAGTATTACTTATTACTTTTTATATAATTAATATAATAATTTAAGAAAGACTTATATTAAAGTAGAGTTCTTTAAATATTATAATAAATATATTTATGTGAATAACTATTACTATATTAATATACTTATATCTAAGATAGTATAGAAGTGCCTTTCTAAGGCTTAAGAGTATTTTTAAGAAGAAAAAGAATAAGCTTTAATTAAGATTTTTTACTTATAAAAATAGCAAAAACTATTAAAAGAATAAGCTGGAGAATTTCTTTAAAAGAATATAAAGAATATTAAAAAGTTAAAAAAATTAGAAAAAGTAAAAGAAAAGATAAAAGTAAAATAAATAAAAGAATAATAAGAGACTAAAAAGCTTTTAATTATTATTTTTATTTTATAAAATAATAATTTTATTTTTAATACTAACTTTAATCCTTCTGTCTTTTTTAATTATATTTTTATTTTTATTCTTAAATCTTTTTAGAGTAATTTAAGTGTTTAATAGATTCTTATATATTTTTTTTAGATTTATATCCTTTCCATCTTATAAGATAGTAGATATATTTTTTCTTTAACTTATACTATAATATTCTTTTAACTTTATATTCCTTATTATCTATTACTTTATCTTTATTTATTAGATTAGTAGTTAATTCCAATAATAAAATATAAAATATTAAATATATTTATATTTTTATTAATAGCTAAAGTTTATAATTATTATTTATAAGTTTTTCTTTAATAATAAATAGTTTAAATTTAATTATATTAAATTTATTATTTAGTCTTATACTTTTAATATTAAAACTTTTTAATTCTAATATTTATTATAAAAAATAAACTCTCTTTCTCTTTTTAAATATTAGTATATTTTTATATTTCTTAT